ATAAACGGGAGAGGATTAGGACCACTGAAAAAATAAAAAAGGTAACTGATTTTAAAACGTTATTTCTGTATAATATAAGAAAAAAATTAGGATTAGGACTTTTTTCTCAGAATTCTGATTTTAATCTCAGGATTATGGCTTTTTTTTGTCAGAATGCTGACTTTAATCTCTGGATTCTGGCTTTTATGTCAGAATTCTGACTTTTTTCTCAGAATTCTGATTTTAATCTCAGGATTCTCATTTTTTTTTTGTCAGACTTCCGACTTTAATCTCAGGATTCTGACTTTTAGGTCAGAATTCGGACTTCTTAGAATTCTGATTTTAATCTCAGGATTCTGACTTTCATTTTAGGATTCTGACTTTTATGTCAGCATTCTGACTTTAATCTCTGGATTCTGACTTTTTTTTATAAGAATTCTGACTTTTTTCTCAGAATTCTGATTTTAATCTCAGGATTCTCATTTTTTTTTGTCAGACTTCCGACTTTAATCTCAGGATTCTGACTTTTTTTCTACGAATTCTGACTTTTTTCTCAGAATTCTGATTTTTAATCTCAGGATTCTGACTTTAATCTTAGGATTCTGACTTTTATGTCAGCATTCTGACTTTAATCTCTGGATTCTGACTTTTTTTTAATAAGAATTCTGACTTTTTTCTCGGAATTCTGATTTTGATCTCAGGATTCTGACTTTTATGTCAGAATTCTGACTTCTTAGAATTCTGATTTTAATCTCAGGATTCTGACTTTTTTTTCTCAGAATTCTGACTAAATTCTGATAGCTAACAAACATGTTAGCATCAAGTCGTAGCCATGTCTGTTTTAGAGGATAATCTAGCTCTCTTGTTTTAATCACCTTCTGCTCTTCTATTAATGAAATAGCATTACCAGGGACCCCTAAAGCACGTAAAAAGTCGCCTAACTCCTTAGTTTTCCAACAACGTGTTACTGGCCCTCCCAAATAACTCACATCTTTGTCAGTGAAGCGGAGTGCTCCCATAGCTTTTCCTTCACGGTGCCCATCTACATTAAGATCCAGAAATCTGGAATTAGAGTCAGAATTCCGAGGAAAAAAGTCAGAATTGTGAGATTGAAGTCAGATTTCTGAGATTTAAGTCAGAATTTTGACCTTTTCCCAAATTAAACTGAAATAATATTTAAAGTTCAGGTAACTTTTTATGTTTTTCAGTGGCCCTAATCCTCTTCCGTATACATATGTGTCTGATTTCAGGTCCAGTATTTTCTTTTTTAGATGCCTGATGACGATTTTCGAGGTAAAAACCAAAACATCTGGAAACAGTTGAGTGATGAAATTTGAGGTTCACTCTGAACTGCAGCATTTCCCCAAAGGCCGTAAATCTGACGACCTACGACACGCCCAGGCCCCGCCCCCCTCCGTTACGACATCACGTCGCCTTACGTAAAGCAAGCGCTCCGGTTTCCTGGCGGAGAAGATGGCGGCTCCTGGACCCGGGGAGTATTTCAGCGTCGGGAGCCATGTCTCTTGCCTCACCTGTTTGGGCCAACAACTACAGGGAGAAGTGGTCGCGTTTGACTACCAGTCCAAGATGTTAACCTTGAGTATCCTTTATTTGTTCGGCGGTGAAAACGCCCGGCTGGCTGGCCTGCCTGGCTGCAAGGGCCTGTAGGGTAACCGAAAGGATGTCAAATAGTGATCCGCGCAGGCGTAATTGGTCTTGGCTGAACTACACATCTTTGTTCGTTTTAGATCATGCTGTTATACAAACCACCTGCCTGTCATTTATTATCCTTCAGCGAGTCTTGTGTAATTTCGTTTTTATCGCGTAAAATGACCTCCCTGGACGTGCATGTGTTTTGAATCCACTCATTGTATTTCCAGCCCTGAGCATGGATCACTATCTGGCAGCGAGCCTTCCTAAGGCATCATGGCTCTCAAACGATGCTAGTTAGCGAGCTAACAGCACACCCTGTTCTGACAGGTGTCCACGCGTTTATCCCCCGCAGCTTCCGACTCCCGCAGTCGGAGATGTGAGCGGTTTTTTCCCAGGAGTCCGTTTAATGATTTTTTTTTTTTTCACCGCCCTCTCCTTCAGCCACGCCACGGGGAAGCTCCTGCTAGCTCGGCTAACATGCTAAGTTTCGGTCAAGCCCAGTTACTCCCAAACCGCCCGGACACTGATCAAACGGTTTAGGGGTCTATTACCTCTATCACCTTGAGCTCAGTTTTAAGGTGTCACGGAATTAATAGTTTTATGTTCCTTTGGTGAATTATGCTCCATCTGATCATGGGAACATCCTGAGCTAATAACCACCATGAACCTTTAGCCTGTGAACTTGCTCTCCTTCATTCCCTCATCATGAGTCTTTCATGATTCACTTGTTAAAGGATATTTATTCATGTCATTGAAATTTGTTCAAATAATTTTACAAAGACTCTAATTTTGAACCAGTGTGGTTATTGTAAGAGTGTAGAAACTGAGGTTGAATGAATGAATGGGTTTATTAGAGGAAGTCTGTCCTTATAGGAAATATTTCAGGGTTTTTTTTTCTGCTGATTTCAGCAAAAATATGGTCTAGTTTTTTTAAAAAGATTTATTTGGCTAAAATATTAGCTATAATCAGCTGATTTAGATTTTTTTTAATAAAAATTATGTCATAGGGAAGTCATATTTAAATGTAAAATCATTCTGGCTTAAACATGTATATAAATGTACTCTTTATCAGACTATATTGCCACAAAATTTAGAATATTTCTATAAAAAAAAAATCCTGTCTTAAAACCTGCGTTTTTTGTTATTTTATGCAGCCCGGTTAGTTATACGTCAGCTTGTACACCTAAATTCGGCCAATCATATCAACGGTCATCTGTCAATCAAACTTTTTTGGTTATAGCATCTTGATTCATATGTCGCAGCTAATATACGCAATGGTTCAAATAAGAAATCAGAATCCTTTCCTTTCCCATTGAGTTGCGTCCCAGTGTTCACGGGGATGGACGTCTGTGTCTTCAGCAGGCGTAGAGCTAACAGAACTGGCAGCGTTGCGAGGCAAGGGCTCAAACATGTACGGCTGGAAGCCTTCTACACCAAACCAAGCTTCTGCCGCCCTGGCGTCCTCTTCCACAACATCTTCGTCCCCGCTTTCCTCCTCTAAATAAAAAATGGATGACGGAGGAGACTCATCCACGACCTCCGACACTAAACTCTCCTCCTCTTGCATGTTTCCGCTGTCCATAGCGTTCCTTGACAGCGTCGTTTCTAAGTCACCAATTTAGTGCTACTTGGTCTCAATAGAATTTCCCATTGATAACCTACTAGCACTAAGTTGCTAACTGGTTAGCAAGATGCTTCCGAAACACCTTCCACAATCAAACATGCTTGTGAACCTTCCGCCACTACAATCCCGTCGTGACCCACTCGGGAGAATTCGGAAATGCAACCGTTGGAACAGCCGCTTCCCTACAACTTTAGGCACAAACAAAATCCAATCATCATTCGAATTTTTTTCTCCCAACTTTTTATTATCAGATGATGAATTACTCATAATTTTTGCTTCTTTGGTTGCATTGGTTTCACGTCCACTATTTAGGACAGCATGCATTTATCTGGTTGAATACAGAGCTACCCTATTTATCCAGTTAAGATGGTCGTTTTAGCACATGTATGTGAAATAGCTCTGCTACTTTATTTAATGTGCCGGCAATACATGTTACTGACTGGCTCGGCCTTTATTGTGCTTTTTGCCCACACCTGATTAGGGGTGAGTATTGGCATGGCTGTTACGATACTATACTTGTCACCTTACGATATTATCACAACATTGCAATGTCGCTATATATTGCAATATTTTTCCCAGCTATCAAATTGAATGTATAGGTAAAAAATCAATTATCTGAACATATTGATCATTTAGATATTTTGGTATCCATGATGTTTGGGGTTTGAGTCAGTCCACGTCTTTAACTGTGACTGCCTCCACTACAGATATGCCAGAGTGGAGTTGCAGAGTTTTTTTTTGTTTGTTTTTTTTTTTATTGAACTGAAATCGATGTTTTATCGGATAATCACTATCACCAAATCAATTTTTGTTTCCACACCCCTAAACCCGATCGATTTAAGTTTTAAAGATTTGTGGGTGAATCACAATCGGATTATTATCGTGTTATTTAATAATAGTAATAATGAATTTTATTTATAATGCACTTTACATTTGACTTCAAATCTCAAAGTGCTACATTAAAAAAAAGGGAAAATTAAAACAAGTTTAAAAGACCATAACATTAAAAACAGAGTAAAAAGACAGTCATTAAAATCAATACATTAAAAGGCATACGTAGCCTTTTAAAAAAAATCTAAAATCAACAATTGTAGGACATATATTTGGACAAAATGGTAGAAAATTATTTCCTGCTGCATAGCGATCACGCAATCCATTTCAATAATGTATTTGGCTGCTCTTTCTGATCCTTTTTGCTTAAACATCTAGATTTTGTAACAAAGATTCTGAAGCCCACATGTAGGTGTTTGATAAAAAGAAATAGAAATATGAGGAAAAAGTTAATTAATGGCATCCAATCTTATTGCTGTTTGGGCTATAAATTTAGATTTTATTTTTTTTATTTGTTTTTTTATTATATCTACATTTTACATTGTTTCCCCAGGATGTGTCAGTCTAACAGTCCAATGTTATACATCGTTCTGTAATGTAATATCAGCTTGGAAGAACCCCACATATGTCAAACTAGACATTTTTTATGAAAGCTGGTAAAAACTTTAGACACTTTATTTTGAAATATTGTAATCACCAGATAGTTAAACTAATGCCATGATGTTATTAACACTTTCTCTGGCTACCTCGGCGTTTAGAGCCGCTGATCCTCTTAAAGGTTTTTGCTGCAGCAGCTGGGATCCCTCGCCGTAGTTTTGTGATGCCCTCTGTGTCGGTGGTCTCTCTCCACCTTGAACCACTATGAGGGTCATTGGTGGTGCTGTAATAGTTAACCTTCAATATAAGGTTGTGTTACACACAACTGTGTGTAACACATGGTTGGATGAGCTATTTGCGGTGATGGTTTCTTTTGTTTTTGACTGGCAGGATTTCACAAATCCATTCTTTAAATATATTTCATGGGTGATCTCTGAAGACACGAAAATTAATGGTCGATCGGGTTAATTACGAGTATTACTCATTTAGATCAGAGATGGTGTCGCTGACTTATAACTAGGGTTGGGAATTGATCGATTTTCACGATTCCCTTATTGATTCTGCGATACGATTCGATTCCTTATTGATTTCGTTGAATGAAAAAGCATTACTTTACTGTATTTCGGGAAATAAACTCATCTCCCTCTGATTTAGATAAACTAGCGTCAACTTTCTCTCGCTCCCTGAGCTGCGGAGCAACTTGCTAGCTTGTTGCATTACATCCATTGCAATAGCTAGAGTCATGTAAGAATTCCAGCTACCAGTAGTTCTAATTAAACATGCTAGCAATGAAGGGCTGGATTAACGAGGAAGGCACACTCCCTTAATAACCCCCAAAATAGGTAGGAAATTGGTTTATTTCCAGAAATGGCAGAAGATTTACTATGACCCACATGTTTTGTGCGCAGGTGTTTCTGCATGTTGGATGTATTCCCTCCTACCACTTTGCAATAATTGCAAAGCGCCTTGTTGCCATCTTTCTCTTCCTTAAAATGAAGGGGCCTTTTTGCTAGGGATGCACGATATTGGGATTTTGGCCGATATCCGATATGCCGATATTTTAAACTCATGTAGCCGATAACCGATATCGATACTGATGTTAAAGCTGGACAAAAATAAGTAGTCACTGAAAATAGCAGTTTTGTTATCCATTTCTGACACTTTGAAAAATAATATACTCAAATATATTTTCATATGCTGATATCAAATTGATTTTTAAAAACGCGGTATCGATCTATTTTACTTTCAAAATCTCGTGTAATTTCATCGTTCTGTTACAAACTCTCGTGATATTTTGCAAATTCTTGTGAGATTTTGTTAGTAAAATAGATCGATACCGCGTCAATATATCAACATATAAAAATATGGCAACATTTCCTGAATTTTCGGGGGATTTCGTAGCATAACGATGACATATAGCAATATTTCATTAGTAAAAGAGATTGATATGGTGTTTTTAAATGGCAATATATCGGCATATGAAGATATTGGGATATTTTAATGTATCAATATTTTTTCCCTCGTCTTTAGAAGTTTTTAAGTCTGTAAAAAAGACGTTTTTGAGGAAGAAGAAGTAGTAGTATTTTATTTTTTTTTTTAGACTTTAGAAACTCAGAAGCTGATCAAATATCGGGTTAAATATCGGTGGGTTGGCCGATGTCCGATATTCAGTTTTAAGGCTGATACAGGCCGATACCGATAGGGGGCCGATTATATCGTCTATCCCTACTTTTTGCTTTTCTAGACTTGCGCCTGGTCACGTCGTACTTGCTTACCGAATGCCGTCTGCATAACTTGCGTTAAACAAACGATGCCATGGAATTGGAACACAAGGAACCGGTTCTGAACAGGAACTAGTTTTCAATTCCCAGCATGTTCTGCAGGCTTTCTGAGACTCATCAGTTTCACTCTTTGTAAGAGCTTCCTTTAATGCTGGGAGGTTTATCATTATCGTTTCTCATCTGTTTTACGATGCTCCGGACTCTGCCTGTGACCTTAAGCATCCTGGTCCCCTCATCTTCATCAGATATGAGCGTCTGCTGCAGTGAGACTCAGTCCAACAGGCTGAGCATGATGCCAGCCTGCAGAGCTGAAATTCCTGTCCCTAGAAATCAATTTTTTTTTTTTTTTTATTAACCCATTTTAAACTGGTCATGCAACAGAAATGCCATAAAATACTTTTTAACGTGCATGAAGCTTTTGACTTTGTGTTGCTTTATTAAATCTTCTTCCTGTGTTTCCATTAAGTTTGAAGGTTTTAATGTCTTGGATGCTTTCCTAAAGTGGTAAAAGCAGCGTTAGTGTTGGCTGCCTTTTGTCTCGCCGTCAGCGTGCTCACCTTGGCGCTCCGCACCATGACGGCTAAAGTTCACAATAGCTATCTTGTTCAGGTCCTTTACTTTGAAATGTTCTTCCTTAACCGGTTTCCTCTTAAAGAATGTGCTTCCTCCAGCGGTAAGCCGAACCTCAACGACGTCATCCTGATCAACTTAGCCTATGTATCCGAAGTGGACATAATTCATGACCGTACTGAGACTCCGCCTCCTCTAGCATCACTGAATGTTAGCAAGGTAAGGCTTTCAGTGTGGGAGTGGTGTTGGTTTGTCTTTTATTCATTGATTACTGACTTTCTTTTGGATCTTGTTGGATTTTACCTAAATTGTGCCGATTATCTGCAAAAGGTGAACCTTGTTTGACTTTATCCTCTGATATCAGCCTCCAAATAAATGTCTGATCTTTGTTAAGCTCTGCTTCCCGACCCTTTTTTCACATATCATGAAATATAGTTAACAGATTTTTTTTTTTTTCCCAGTTGGTCATTACTTTAGGTTAAACCTTTACCTTTGTTTTTATTCCAACAAAGTTTAGCATTTGTAGCAACTTTGTAATGAAAACTGGTAAAAAAAAAAATCTCATTGCTTCTTGATAAAGTATATTTTTTTCGCTCTGTGACTTTAGAAAGCTTCAGCAAAATCTTCTCCTTTTTTAACTAAGTTCCAGGTGTGAGTGGCTTTGCTCTTTCACTAATTCCCACGTATATTTAATTAACTGGATAAGATTTACGCTTTATATAAACAATAAAAGGAAAACAAGAACTGGGAATGTCACAAAGAATCCGTTGATAAAAGGAGTTGAAGTTAATGGTTGATTTTTGATTGAATATTACTTAGCAGGTTGGTTGAAGTGAGTCAGTGAGTCTTTGATTATGTTTGTTTGTTTTTCATCCATATTCTCTGTTTTCTATGTGAAAATATTTCCTGCAATGGCTTCATTATGCTTTTGTTGGAAAAAAAAACTAAGCTGAAATAGAAATGCTCTGTTTCCACAGCTTGCCAATCGAGCACGGACAGAAAAGGAAGACAAGCTGTCCCAAGCCTATGCAATCAGTGCTGGGGTTTCTGTGGAGGGCCAGCAGCTATTCCAGACTATTCACAAAACGTAAGGACTTGATGTTGGTGCTCAGTAAGCCATATCACCTGCTAACCTGGTCAGGTTATGGGGGTTTAGTCATTGGTGTGAACCACTTTTTTTGTCAGCTTTAAAAGGAAAAGTAACACAAGATCCACTTTTTAATTAATTTGGCGATAGAGATGAGATCCAAGCTAATCACAAGGAAACTGTTTGCTGGACACCTGCCAAGCCAGAAGTCCCTCCTTAAACGTTGCAGTCAGTAACTTATTTATGTCTTTAAATTCTTTTTTATTGCTCTTATATAATCCAGTTTCTGAATTTTTTTTTTTTTTATTTCATCATCCTCCTTCACCTATATTAGAGCTGCAACTAATCATTATTTTGCTAAACGGTTCATCTGTCAATTATTTTTTTTTTTTTATTAATTGCATAGAAAAAGGTTCTCTAAAGATTTTTTTTTACAGATTTAAGATAAGGGTGTGCAAAATAATCGTCATGACGATGCATCGCGATTCTAATCCTTGTGATCTACTGCATCGATTCTTGAAGGCAAGAATCGATTATAAAAAAAAAAAAA